AGCCTCGTAAACATCATCTCTCCTGACAATCTTCACGGAGTTTCTGTACTTTTCTTTTTTTCTTTTTTAAAGTTTTGGAGTTTTCACAGCTTTGGCTTCCAGACACTTTTTTCTGCGTCTCAGCATTTTACACCCACCCCCACCCAACCAGTCAGTTAGCCAAAAATACAAACACACACGTGCCACACGACATCTTTTTTTCAGGCAGATGAATGCTAGGATTAGGTGGAGATTTATGAGAAGATTCACCACAGAAAGATTGTTTGTTTGGAAGGTTGTCACTGATGGGAGTCGAGTTTTTACAATTTAAAAATACTTCATACATGTGTGAAAACGCAGTATAATTGTGTGTGACTTTACCACATCATTAACTCTGCTCCACCCAGTGATGGACAGCAGACCTGTCCAGGGTGTGACCCCAGTGCTGTGATTGGCTGCCTCTCCCCTGTGGCCCTGAGACCTGAGAATGAATGACCAGAGGTTGACCATGGATTTAACTTCATTACATTCTCTTTGACCTCATCCTTTAGAAGTGGCTAATTCTGGAACAGCAACAGTGTCCTGTTTGACTCCTGACTTAACAAACACGTGGCCCTGACACAGAGGAGGACAGGAAGACAAATGGACACGCTCCCCTCGTCTCCCCTCGTCTCCCCTCCTCTCCCCTCCTCTAGTTCAGCTGCAGGCTGGTATTAGAGAAAAGTGGAATAATAACTCTCCAGCACCGACACAAAAACAGTTTTTTTTTGTGGTTGTCTCACCTTGAAATGATTGTCCTCACTTTGGTCGTCTCTGTCCTTTTGTCCTTGTCTCCGCTTCACTTTTTTTAATACACAAAGTTGCAGTGTTCTCCTTTCTGGGCAGCAGAACTGTTCCTCAGCCTCTGCTGCAGGGCTTAAAGAATTCACTTTGCAGCCAATTCACACACACACACACACACACACACACTGCAAGTCCTTCCCTCCTTCAGTTCCATGCGGTTGACTCACAAGAGACTACACCCCCCCGTCCTCCCACCCTCACCCCCACCCTGGAGGCTGTGAAGCCCGAGTTTGTGTAAGGTGTGAAACTTAGAGCAGCTGCATCTTTATGTGAGTTCTATGAGGCAGAAATGGAGGCAGAGGGAGGGAGAGAGGGAGGGGGGGAAGAAAGATTTCCAGTGGCAGCGGCTGTAATGACAGGCATAGGTATTTGTTAGCTGATGTAGAAAATGAGATGGAAGTGGATGGAGTGTGAAGACGAGCTGAGTTTCCTCCCCCTGTTGGATATTAATCATGCATGTGAAGACTGGTGTTAGTATTCTGTTCAGAACCGCTCACAGCCGGCAGAACAAATACACGGCTCCCTTCGTCCTCCTCCTGTGTTCCAGTAAATGAAGCATGTCTCCATCACTGGCCACGAGGGGGAGGTGGAGGAGGGAGGGTGAGGGGGGGGTTCTCTGCAGTTGAATGGTGTTTACTGCTTTCTGAGCTGAAATGTGATTCCATTAGTTCCTCCAGGAGGAGGCCGCCGCCGCCGCCACCGCCACCGCCGCCGCCGCCGTCGTCGTCTCTCCCTTTAACCTTGACAAACGCATGGTTTCGGAGCCGTTCTGAGGAGTTTTGGAGATTTCGGAAGAGACAATGTCTGTGATATACACCATCGTAGTACTACTCTACACGGGCCCCCCCCCCCCAACATGCACACACACACACGTAGAAGAAATGGTGACCTGATGAAATCCCTGTCTGTTAGAACTGAGAACTGAGCTGCCCCACGCCCCCCCCCTTTACCTTAGAGCGTGCACAGCTGCCTGACCCACGAAGGGTTAAATATATGACTTATTAGGTTGTCATGAATGTCTAATAAATCCTGCAGGAGCTGTGGATTGAACGACGGAGGCTCTTAGTCTTTTACATGTGTTTAAGCTTCACTTCCTCCACCGTGGAACCAGACCTTCATCAAACAGTGTGTTCTGAAGAGCTGCGTTTTCACTGGATCGTAAAAATAAAACGTAAAAAAAAAAAAAAAAAAAAAAAAATCCCTCATCACACAGAATATGAGGTCATCAAACATCGAGCAGTGATGCTGAGCAGCTACTGTGATCTGTGTGCTGACGGCGCCCCCTCCCCCCGATGTATGGAGAGGGAAGGGGGGGGGGGGGGGGGGGGGGGGGTGTCAGGTCTCTAATCCACCCCTGCTCGCTGTTATTAAACCCATTTATTACATACAAATAAAACTAAATAGTTAACACCTTGTAAGACTGAGTGTGTGATGTAGCCTGCCTTTATTGCTGCAGCCCATTTCCACACACACACACACACACACACACACACACAGATGGCAGCTCAGATATAAATCTCAGATACTGCAGCTCTGCCACATTTGCATGCTCATGTTTCGGGGTATTTGTCCATTAAGGAGTGTGGCCAGCGCTCTGATGCCGCCCGCCCCCCCCCCTCCCTCCTCTCG